GTAACAGATATGACTGTGGTGGTGCTTGTGATGCACAATTTTTATTGAGTGGTTGTAAGAGGGCTTGCATGTGATTAGTAAGTGTTGAATTGATGTTTATGCAGTTCGTGGTGTTGTGAAATCAGTAGTAGTGTGAACAAGAACAGGGCTCGTGTACCTATTATTGTGTTTAGGGGCTGCTATAGGTGCTGGAACATCAAACTCTTAATAACAGCACTCAGTTTGTAGCTGAGAATTCAGGTTAGAAGCAACGGCGAAAGAGTACCATGGCAGCAATGGGAGATGGGCATAATGATCAGAAACCCAGTGTGGTGGTTCCCTCTGACTACCTAGGTTTACAGATGACCTCAATTAAACTGAATGGGGAGAACTATGTTCCATGGGCCAAATCAGTGGAAGTTTTCCTCAAGGCAAAGAGGAAAGTGAAGCATGTAAAAGAAGATAAACCACCGGCTGACTCTCCAGGGTTTGATGATTGGGAACAAGAGGATGCTCAAATCATGACCTGGCTATGGAATAGTATGGAACCCAAAATTAGTGCCACCTTCATATTCCTAGATACAGCTAAGGATATATGGGAACATGCTAAGAAGCTGTATTCTGGACAAGATAATATTACAAGGGTATATCAACTTTATCAGGAATACTTTGATTTGCAACAAGAAAACAAAACCCTAGAAGAGTACTATGCCTGCATGAAGAATATAAGGAATGAACTCAATGTCTATCATCCCCTCACTCCAGATGTTAAAGTTCAGCAACAATAGAGGGAACAACTAGATGTTACAAGATTCTTAGTGGGGCTGAAATCAGAGTATGAACCAGTTAGAGCCCAAATATTAGGGAGCTCTACCCTTCTTACTCTCGATGAAGTATTTGCACGGCTTCGTAGGATTTCTTTGGGACAGACAGAGAATCCCACACAGTCTAATAGATTAGCGCTTGTGACAGCTAGAGCAAGTGGACATGGTACAAGAGGGGGAGGATATGCCTCCCGAGGAGGCCATGGCAGTTCCGTGTTTGGCCGGAGTGGTGGTCGTGACTCAGGGGGAGGCCGTGGCAAAGGAAAGAGTAATTCTGCAAGGAAGTGTACTCATTGTGGCAGGGAAGGACACACGGTGAATTTCTGTTATGATCTACATGGCCCTCCCTCTAAATGGGCTAATCATGCTATAGCTGGTGAGGTTGATATCAGTGACAGTAAACAGGAAGACCTAACTCCTTCCACATCTACATCTGCTTCTGGAAGGGAGATGGTGAGTGTACCGTGTGATGAGTATGAACGGTTCCTTCAAACCACTTCATGGCATACCACTGCTACTCTTGCCCACTCAGGTATTGCTTGCATGTCATCTAAAACCTCTCCTTGGATTATTGACTCTGGAGCCTTTGATCACATGACCAGGACTCCAGGTGTATTCTCTTCTCTTTTTGAAATTTCCACATCACAAACTGTTACACTTGCCAATGGCTCTTCATCTCCCATCTGTGGTGTTGGTAATGTTGACATGGTTTCTCTTTCTTTATCATCTATTCTATATGTACCTAAGTTTCCATTCAATCTTATGTCTGTTAGTAAATTAACCAAGACTCTTAACTGTTCTGTTACCTTCCTTCCTTCCTCTTGTGTTTTTCAAGATCTCAAGACAGGGAAGAAGATTGGTGGGGGGCATGAAGCTGGTGGATTGTATAATCTTGATTGTGGGGGATCCTCAATTGCTCTTCAGACTTCACTTACTCCTCTACAGTGGCATTGCCGACTGGGACATCCTTCTCTCAAGGCACTTAAGATATTAGTTCCGTCTTTGAGTCATTTGTCAGTTTTACAGTGTGAGTCATGTCAGTTTGGGAAACATCATCGTGTTTCCTTCAGTCCTAGAGTTGAAAGTCGTATGTTGAGYCMTTTTKCTTKGGTTCATTCAGATGTTTGGGGCCCGATCAAAATAGAGTCTTATAATGGGTACAAGTATTTTGTCTCTTTTATTGATGATTGTTCAAGGATGACATGGATTTACTTAATGAAAGAAAGAAGTGAATTATTTTCCATTTTTCAAAAATTCCATGCTGAAATATGTACACAATTTGGTGTTCCAATTAAAGTCCTTCGTTTAGATAATGGTCGTGAATACTTTCTTCATTTCAACAGTATTTAGAACAGCATGGCATCATTCATCAAACTTCTTGTGCATCCACTCCTCAACAAAATGGGGTGGCTGAACAGAAGAACCGTCAGCTCCTTGAAACTGCTCGGTCTATTCTTCATCATATGAATGTTCCTAAACGGTTTTGGAGTGATGCTGTACTCACTGCATGTTTCCTCATTAATCGGATGCCCTCCTTCATTCTTCATGGTCGGTCCCCCTTCTCTATCTTGTTCCCCACTTTATCTCCATTTCCATTAACTCCTCGTGTCTTTGGCTGTGTGTGCTTTGTCCACAATCTGAGTCCTGGAATAGACAAGCYAGATGCACGCTCCATTAAATGTGTCTTTCTTGGCTACTCTCGGACTCAAAAAGGGTCCAAGTGTTATAATCCCATTACTCGAAAGTGCTATGTCTGTCCCGATGTCACCTTTTTTTAGTTTGTCCCCTTCTTCTCAGGACCTGAAGCGCCTTCGTCTCCATCCTTACTTCCTCTTCCTCTTCTTGTTAGTGATCCAGTTCCAGATGTTGCTGTTGGAGTAG